ACTTCACGCCGACGATAAGGCTCTTCGTGGACGAGGTCCGATATCGATTGAATCGTAATTTCGGGAGATGGAATAAATAGAATACGGTCATTTCAAAAACATGTAATAAAGTCCGGTTACAACCCCACTTACCATATAAAGTCAACTCTTTATCGCGTAATTCGTGGAGCTTTTCTTTACTTAACGTTAATAGAATTCTTTCAGTAGTATGGTCTAATAATGATTTGATATTTACACTTGCATCAAAATCATTAACATTTACATGTTTTAGGTAGCATTTTTCTTTAGCGCTTTTAATAGCTGTGTACGGAGGATATAATTTACTTCCATGTAACATCTTATTATATGTTCGCAGCTTATTGTGCTTAACTTTTGTTAAGTCCAAGTCTACATACATAGCTAAGATATTATTAATATTCTCAATATTTCTAGTATCTTCTTCTGTATCCGAGTCATCATGAGATTAATTTTGTAAACATGCAGCAGCTCTTAAAACTTCTTCAGCACTGTGGTTTGAAATTATATTTTCAATGCGTCTTTTTTTCGTCTTTTCAGAACTTTCGCTATAAGATACGGATGGACGACCTTTTACATTTTTAATTTTTTTATTTGGTACAGGAACTTGTAATGAAAGATTTTGTGAGGACTGTGCTATATTTTCTACTGATTCATTTGAAGCAATATTGATCTTTACTATGAATTTCTTATTTAAAAATGTTAAATATTTTTATTGGAAACGTTCTTTTTTACGAGAAGCGGTACACCATTTCTTATACAAAGGAAAGAAATTGTTACGTAAATTTGTTTGTATTTGCATAATGTTGGAAATAAATGTTCCTAGCCGTAGTATCTTTCTGATTATGATGTCACAACATAGATGTCTCTGTCTTATGGGCCCCTTGTTGAGGCGCCGTGTCCCGCTCTTCTTATGTTTTCTTTTATCGGGTCATGCCGTGTGTGCATCTTTGTATAACATATAATATACTCTCTTATTAAACCTCACATTATCGTCTGTATCTAAATTAATCCTCATCCAACAGATTATGAGACTTAGTCTGCGCTAATCAATAAAACGATCAGACGTGTGATATTGTGAGGCTGAGGTTAGGAGGAGTGACAACGATAGACGGTAAGCAAGAAGAAGCAAAAATGGCTACTGAAAATTCACTGCATATGAGAGAGATTCGAGTTACTAAGCTCACGAAAGCAACGTATGGTTGTTGGAGAATCGAAGTCCGTGATGTTCTGGAAAGCTATCAAATCTGGGAAATCACCACTGGAAGAACAACTAAGCCTAATAAAGTGAGATCTGAGGCTGGCGCTGTTACTAACCAAAAAGAAATTGATGACTGGAAAGTGAAGGACAGCAAGGCACGGTCTGTTATACGTTCAACTCTAGACGACACGACTTTTGATCAGGTATGCGACTGTGAAACATCAGCAGACATTATGAAAAGGATTAAAGCCTTTTTTGAGCCAAAGACATTAAATGCCTTATTAGAATTACTACGTGAGTTCTTTAGTCATTCATGGAAATCAAATGACACCGTCGGTACGTTTGTAGCAGGATTAAAGGTTATTGCACGCAAAATTGAAGCCTTAGATTCAGAAGATTTTGGAACTAAGTTTAATGAAAAGCTTATTATGGCAAAGATTCTAGGGTGTCTACCGAAGGAGTTCGATAGCTTTGTTACAAGCTGGTCTATTTTATCGGATGAGATGTCTCTGGAGCTATTCTTGGAGAAACTTGCCAACGCTGAAAGGAATATTGAAGGACGTTCGGATGAGATATCGGATGAAGCGTTCAAGACGCAGTCTAAGTCAGCGAGCGGTCAAGCAATGAGAACCTTTGAAAAGAAATTTAAAGGCAAGTGTAATAAATGTGGTAAAATAGGACACCTAAAGCGAGATTGTAGGTCGAAAATAGAGAAATCTGAAGCATCGAATTCACGAAAAGGATCAAAAGAGTCAAGAAATGCAGAAGTGGTAAAAGAGTTGTCTGCATCGTCAGCTCTTAAATTGACAAATGAAGGAAGTATTATTGCAGATTCCGGTGCAAGCGTTCATCTTACAGGAAACATTGAATGGTTTTCATCACTGAAGAAAATGGATGTGCCACTTATATTGAACATTGCCGATGGTAAAAAGTTACAAGCTACTCACGTGGGTGATATTCAAATTGAAAAGTCGATTAATGGCAGAAAATGGGAGAAACAAATGTGGAGGACAGTATATTACTGTGAAAATATGGGTAGTGAATCGCTCTTTTCAACGACGTTTATGGAGAGAACTAAAGGTTATGGATTTTATCATGGAAACGGAATCATGCAACTAATGGATGGACAG